CAAATTAATAAAGTTATTGATGAAAATAAAAAGTGTCTTTTACGGAAAAAACTAAATGGACCTTTTGGCCAACTCAGTATTATTCAGCCACAAAAAGGAATGAAATTCTGATACATGCTACAACACAGATGAACCTCAAAAACATGGTAAGTAAAAGAAGCCAGACACAAACAGCCACATGTTGTATGACTCCATTTATATGACATGTCCAGTACAGGCAAATCTACAGACGTAGAAAGTATTTTCCAGAGGCTGGAAAGAGGTTAAGAATGGAGAGTGACTGCTTACAGGCATGGGGTTTCTTTTTGGGGTGATAAAAGTGTTCTGCAATTAGACAGTGGGGATAGGTGCATAACTCTGTGAATATACTAAAATCCATTGAACTGTATTCTTTAAATGGGTGAACTTCATGGTATGTGAGTCACATCTCAATACAGCTGTCATTTAAAAAGGGATTGAACAAAATCATATAGTGACATCTCTGTGCGGTGGCCTGGTTAAATCGCTCTGCCTACTATAGGATAACCTCCTGTAAAAAAATACACAATCTGTTCAAAAGAGGAAATGATTTCTTACAACAACCAACCATAAAATCAAATGTATAGTAAAAAGAGAAAAGAACAAAAGAGCACACAATTTGCAATTCCCTGGCAGTTATGAAATGGAATTAACCAAAGACTGCACAAAGAAAAATGTTTACCAGAATTGTTCACTTCCCTTTGATTACACAGATATAAACAAATCAAAATCCTTATTAACTCCTGAGTAAATGTGCCAGCTTCTTTATTAGCAAAGAGCAAGGAAAAACAAGCATTCTCTCCTGTAACATCCCATAGAATTAACATCCCACAGAAGGTCTGTTTGTACTTGGCCGTCAGAAACCTTTCATCTCAGAGCACTGCTAAATTAAACAAGCCTACGTTGTATTGGACACAGTGAGCCAGACACCCTGGCAGGCTCTGAAACTTCATTGGTTGATGTTGAAGAACTTAGAAATAAAGGGGATGGTATGAATGATGGTGATGATGGTGACAAAGTAGCTTTGTCTTCATTCCCTCCAACATTTCAATTATCTACAAAAATGGAAACAACCTAACAACTGTGAAATCCCTTTCTCTATGTGTATAAAGGAGAGCACTGACTCCAGAGCCACAGAGATCTGGATTCAAGTCACTGTTTTTTTAAACCTACTGAAGCTGCATGCCCAAGGACAAATTTCATAACTGTGGCCTTCTATTGAGTGATTATATCTGCCCTCTCAGAGCTGTGAGAACGAAATGAGGAAATGCACACCAACAGTGGGGCCCAATGTTCAACATGTACATCCCACCATAAAAATCCCCACTACTCTCAACTCTTCAAAGCACATATTCATTTTAGAACTTAAATGATCATATAAGTAATTGACATCTTTCATCCTTATTTTACCCCAAGGACATCTAAACAACGAAAAGATCCTATGAAGATTTCACATTAAATCAATTATCCCCGTTCCCATAGAACTGAAGGTAGGAAAGTCATCAAGAAAGTCTGTTTTTAAATGTGTTTAACCAGGGCATAACACAAAGCATTCATTCACCTGAGAAGTATTTGAAAGCACTGAACCAAGAGAGATACACCAAGAGAAACACTTACTATTACAGAAAATGCGTATTTTTAGTGCAATAATTGGCTACCTTTCCATAAAGATTGATGCAATCTGATTATAATTCCCATGTCAGTAATCAGTTCTTAAAGTAAAAGAAAAAGGAAGTAGGATGGTTTCAAGCACTCCAGAAAAGATGTAGGAGGATATCTTTTCTCACTGACAGCAATTAATGTTTGAGTAATGGCTGCTAGAACATTCAGACTGACAAACATTATTACATTACTGAAATCTATTTAAAACAAAACTTATTGGGTTTAATCTACACGACCTTCACCATGAACTAGGTGTCTTCTCTGAACAAACTGGCATGAAGGAAAAACTTGCGTGGAATTCCCAGATTTGTCATTATACTGCTATGATACAGAGGAAATGATGCTTTACAGCCATACTCCCATGTTGGCATCTATTTAAAGAGAGCATCTAAACTGCAGTAATAGGCAGAGTCAGACTTCCTCTACCCAGCTGCATACACATTTCCATCATGCCACAACACTAGGCAAAGAAAGCTTCCAGGGTTAGGAGGGAAATATTTCTCAAGTAGGATGGGACAGTCAGAAGCCAAGGATATCCCTAGAGAGGTTCACTAAGCTCTGTACTCTTTATGGAATTTGTGGCCCAAAGCTGCTGTTCTCCATCTCTTTTTCTTCAAACTACACTTGAGATTCTGACTTAGTAAGACCTCTGTGAGAGACCAAGTCAATTACAGACACTGTAGATGCCCAGTGTTGGCTTTGCTAGGGATCCATTACCCATTGTATAAAGAAAGCACTTACAGTTTTTTTCCTTCCTACTGCAGTTCTATACTTGCATCCTGACCACAAGAGTTTCATCTAAATATTCTGCTACCACAAATTCTGTATATGAAGACAGAACTTCTCCTCTTTCCAACTTTTCAAACAAATAACCACTAACACTGCCAGTCTAAACTTTAAGCTTGATGGCTGAAGTAGGAAGAAACTGTTACAAATGCACAAAATCCAACCCATTAAGTATGTAACGATATCTTAAAATCTGTTTTAACACCATACAAAAAGTTTTACAAGGCAGCTAAGAGCAGAAACAAATGATAAAGTCTTAATTTTAATTGCAACTTCAGTTTAACCATTACTACTAGTAATTCCTCACCTGCCAGGAGTATTTTTGGAATTAGGGTTTTAAAGAAGGGTTTAAAGAAATTAATTTATCAGTGAAATAAAAGCTACCAATAAACAAACTCCTATATAGCCACAGAAAAGAGATTCGAGAACCTGAAATTTTGGTTATTTTAGAAAACAAATACAAGGTTATACCATTAGCCACAATATCAGAGAGAAAAAGTCTAGGAAATCTTATTAATTTAGATTCAACTAATAAAGATTCAGTAATTTTAAGTTTGCCTACATATAACTTTGAACGACAGTATTTTTTAAAGAAGGAGTTGCTAAGCAAATTAAAATACAAATAAATTGCTAGGGAATTATAAATAATTTTTTTTAAATTTTTACACGCAAATAACAGCTACTGAAATACTAGTTAAAACTAGCTTATGCATTCCCTTATAAAAATCCCATATTCCAGTGGAAACAAAATGTATGAAGCAAGAGTCTACAACATTGCTAAATGTATTAGATAACTTTTCCATCTTCTGTTTATTTTGGCTGTAAAAAACTGGTGTAGGAGTCAGAAAAGCTTAATAGGCAGGGTATGGGACAAAGATTTATAAATTCTCCATGTCTGGCAATCCATATCTCTACTTTTATTTTTATAAATGTCAAAACCTACAATTAAAATATAACTCAGTTTCTTTCCATTATAACCATAATTATTTGGGGGCATTCATTTTATCCTGTCTTCAAATAACCTAACTGACAAATACTCCCATGTCTATAATAGGAAACACACATAGGATTCCTTAGTAAGATCTAGAATCTTACCTAGTTTAGATTCTCGTTTGCCCTTAACAGCAACAACAAACACAAATGAAAAGCATTATTTAAAACACACCAATATAAGTGAATCTGAAAATAAGTTGAGACATAGTTCAAATCAATAGTCCAAACAAAACGTTGTAAAATGTTAGGGTAGCAAGTGTCAACTATAATTAATTACATACATCTATATTTATATAAATTTAAAACTCACAGGTGCTAGTTTTAATCTCCAAGAAATTTTGTTTAAAGATTTTGGCATTGTTATTCTATTATAGTTGTCCTAATTTCCCCCCTTTGCCCTCCTCTGCCCATCCCACCCCCTCACTCCCTCAGTCATTTCCCACACCATTGTCAATGTCCATGGGTCATTCATACATGCTCTTTAACTAGCCCCTTCCCCTTCTTTCCATCATTATTTTCCTCCTCTCTCCCCTCTGGTCACTGTCAAGTCTGTTCCACCTTTCCATGTCTGTGGTTCTATTCTGTTTGTTAGTTTACTGCTGTACATTTACACAATGGAATACTATGCAGTAGAAAGAAAGAAGGAACTCCCACCTTCTGCGACAGCACGGATGGAACTAGAGATTATGCTAAGTGAAATAAGCCAGGTGGTGAAAAACAAATACCACATGATCTCACCTATAAGAGGAATCTAATGAACAAAATAATCTCTAAGAAATTAAATTTCTTTTCTTTTCTTTTTTATCATCACTTGAGGATATGTCCATTGACTTTAGAGAGAGGAAGGTGTAGGGGAAGAGAGAGGAAGGGAAAGAGAGGGAGGGAGGGAGAGAGAAACATCAATCAGTTGCCTTCTGTATGTGCCTTGACCAGAAATCAAACCTGCAACCTAGGTATGTGCCCTGACCAATGATCAAACCTAGAACCTTTTGGTGTATGGGACAAAGCCCTTCTCAAAAGAGAAGAGGTGCCTCTCTTTTAAATCTTAATGCAAACTTAATGACAATATACACCAATCATTTACTCCTTCAAAACTGGTTTGTGTATGCCCTGGCTTTGTGGCTGTTAGCTGGAGCATCATCCTGCACACCAAATTCTCATTTAAGAACAAGAAGAGTTGCTATGTCACCAGAAGTGACTTCAAATCCCTCAATTCCCTATTTTAAAAAAACAATGTCTTTGCTGAATGTTATATATATATATATATATATATATAGTTACCAAACAGCTTATGGGTTTCCACCTACTAGGTCTCCTTCTCAGTAGCATGCTCTAAAACATGGAGATAAGGGGAATTTAAATGATCGCATTCAAACAGCTCACATTTCTGGCATCCACCTTAAGAACCCCAGGTTCCATGAACTTAAACACTCCTAAAAAAATCTCCCTTTTACACCTCAAGAAAGAAGGCTATGAAGAGGAATTAAAAACAATAATAAGAAGAAAAGGGTTTTTTTAAAGTTAAATAATAAAAAACTTACCTCGGTCAAATATTTAATTATTTTCTTGTCTTACATTCTCTTTATCAGCACCTTTATTTTGAACCTAGAAGAGGAAAAAAAAGTGAAAATTACTTTTTACTGAACCCCTACTTACATGCCAGGAAGTGTGGTCAAATAAAGCCTTTTGGAGAACATGAAATATGAGATTAATAGGAAAGAACAAAACAGAAGTCACTAAAATGGGATAGCTGGGAAGGAAAGTGAGAGTTCAATTAACTAACCTCTCCTAAATTTCTCAAAAAATTATATATATATAAATGACTATATTCCATAAATAGGCTTCAAGTACTGAAGCAGGTGAACAGTTGGGTTGCTAGACTCAAAACGTCTGCATTGGAATCCCAGCTCTACCACTCCCTAGCTTTTGTTATCTGGGGCAAGTCCCCAAGCCTCCATGTGCCTCATTCTCCCCATATGTATAGTAATAGTACCCAACACATAGAATGCTGAGGATTATATGACATAATCCACATCGGGACTTTTTGAGTTCCTGGAATGTAATAAATGTTGAATAAATGTTAATTATTGCTTTTATATAATAATAAATCTGTTTGTGTCTCACTGCCTCTACCATCACCATTATTATATTATTAAGAAATGGCATAATCTTGTCTTCAAGAGGCTTACAGAGTACTGGGAGAGAGAGAAGAGTTACCCAGACACACAATATAAGACAAAAGAAAGATCAAAGTCAATTATTATTCATTTATTTAACAACCCTGAAAGTCTATTCGCTGCCAGGTGTTTTGCTGGGCACTTTGATGGACAGGACGGAGAGTTTCTTTCTTCACAGCTTCCAGTCTATCAAGGGGCACGCTACATAGGACAGATGAGCTACTTAAGGAGACAGATACTGTTTTCTACTAGGTATGGGACAGCATGTATCTGAACTGGTAGAAATGGACAGTGGAACACTTAATGATAGGAAATGCAGGACTTCTGGGTAGCCTTGTTGTCAAGGTGCATCCAAGAGGGCAGTAAGGTGTAAGGATAGAAAGCAGGAGGGATGGCAAATGCTGGTTTGGTCTGTTCTCAAGTATGTTGATTTTCCTGCTCAGGTTGAACCACTTCAATTTTAACACCTTTTATTTGTTTTAATTTCAATTCTAATATCTTTTTACTGTTTTTTTTTATAATTTCTTTTTTTCCCTTTTAAAGGTGAGAGGGGGTAAGTGTAGGAGGAAAAAAAATAACAGCAACCTCAACCCACTGTGGCATTAGCAGTGATGGCAGAAGTGGAATTACATGATGAGCTTTACATGTTCATTTTTAATTCTCCCAACTTTCTAGCAAAGATAGAATTGTTCCTTTTATAGATTAGGAAATGAGTCTGGGAGAAGTCGAAGAGATTCCCTGATGTCCACACACCTAATAAATGCAGACACAAAATTAAACCACAAGTTTAACTGCTCAGTCTTTCTCTTAGGCAAACGTGTGTAAGGGATTTTGCAGAATTTAAAGCCTGTTAAAGTGACTTATATATTCTGGGTCTGTCAATATCCATACTTACACAGAAATAAAGAGCTTTCATACACACAATCAAAATCACTTAGAAAAGATAAAGAGAAGATTGCACTTACAAAAGCAATGATAAAATAAAATATTTAATATGAATTTAACAAGAAATGGGCAAAACCTCTTTAACTGGTGTGGCTCAATGGGTAGGGTGTCACCCACAAACCAAAAAGTCACCAGTTTGATTCCCGGTCAGGGCACATGCCTGGGTTACAGGTCAGGTCCCCAGTTGGGGTTTTGCAAGAGACAAACCAACAAGTGTTTCTCTCACACATCGATATTTCTTTGCCTCTCTTCCCCTCTCTAAAAAAATAAATAAAATCTTTAAAAACAGAAATGGACAAAACATATGAGAAAAACTTTAAAAGTTTCAGAAGGATTCAAGAGTAAAATCAAATGAAAAAATATATACAATACTCCTGGATAGGAAAATTCAACACTAGAAAACTGTCAATTCTCCCTATGTCAGTGTATAGATTTAACATGATCTCAAATTTTTTAAAGAGTTTTCCCCAAAAACAAGACAAAATGATTCTCAAGTTCACATGGAAAAATAAACAAGCAAGAATTGCCAGGAAATTGAAGGACAACAGGGGAAACTAGCTTCACAAGATATTAAAACATTTTATAAAATCAATAATGTATACTGGTGTATGAATAGAAAGACTAACGGAATAGAACAGAGAGTTGACAGGTGTACCCCATCAGGAAGTTCCGAGTACAATAAAGGTGTGCTATATTCTGAAATAAATGGATAAGACAACTGGTAGTCATATGGGAAAAAACAAAATTGAAACTATATATCATTCCTGAACACTAGAATAAATTCTAAATCGATCAAAGATTTAACTTAAAAATTAAACCACAAATGTGATCAAAGAAAACAGGGACAAATTCCAAATTCATGGAGGCCTTTCTGTGATTCAATCCAGACACCATAAAAGATTAATAACTACCTAATTCAAAGATACAACTTTTAAGCCTGCTCTATACCAAAATACATGAAAGTAAGTTTAAAAATGACAACTGGAGGTAACTGAAACTCATCACAAAGGGCTAATCTAATTTACAAGGAGAAATTGATTAGAAACAAAGCAATTCAAAGGAAAAATGTGCAAAGGGCAGGAACAGAGAGTTCATAGAAAAAGAATCAGAAATAGTCTTTAAGTATATAACATGTTCAGCCTAATTCGTAATCAGAGTATTGCACATGAAAACTACACCAAGTTACCATTTTTCACCTATCAAATTGATATACATCCAAAGGTTGGTAAATGGAGCCTACTGCAGAGGCTGCAGAGAAACAGGTGCTCTAATGCATTACATAGACACCTCACATATACAACATGATATGCATAAATGTTATTCATGCCAGCTTGTCTGCAATTGTAAGAGATTGGGGAAAACTCAAATGTGCATCGGTAGGAGTGAGTTCAATAAACTACAGCACAGGCATACATGTTTGTTTTCTATACACTAACCTGGAAAGATCCCAGAGATATATTAACTAAAAAATGCAAAAGCAGCAGAATAATTTACAAGGAATGCTATATTTTATATAAAAAGAAGGGAGTGTATACATAGTATACCAATATTTACTTCTATCTACACAAAGAAACAAGAGACTTCAATGGGAAACAAAAGAGGCTTTCTGTGGGAAGAGGGGAACAGATCAGACCAAGACAGTTGCTAGACTCCTCAAAATATTGCTGTTTTAATATTTAAACAATATGAAAATTTTATTTATACAAAAATAATTTTAAAGTGTTAAAAGTATAACTCATAAAAAAGAGAACTACCCATAAATCAAAGCCAAAATCTAACAAGCATTTAAAAAGAGATTTTTTTCTCTGAAATTAGATATTAACAAGCAATTTTAGTGTGAACATCACTGAAAATTATAAAAGACAATGTAATTTTTCTTCTTCAACCAAGCTAAAGTGTATGACTACAATTATTTAAGTTATTTGGAGGGGTAAAGAATTAAAAGAGAGAACAGGAAGTTGCAATGGAAAGGAAGCTTTAATCTAATGCTTCTCAAAGTATGGTCCCTGTACCAGCAGCATCGGCATCTCCTGAAAACCTATTGAAATATAAATGCTCTAAACAAGAAACTGTGGGAACAGTAGGTAGCAATCCCTAAAATACACACTCAAGTTTGAGAGCCAATAACCCGATCCGATGCTTCCCACACATTCACCTGCATCACTTGGAGGAGGATCATGTTAAAATGTAGATTCTTGTCCAGTAAGTCTGGGATGGACCCCAGAATCTGCATTTCTGCCAAGCTCCAGGATGCTGCTGGCTCAGGGGCCACACTTTGTGAACAAAACCTGATGTCCACTTGCAGAAGAAGGTGAGCAGTCTTCGTGTGGTTGAGTTTTCTGTGAAACTTGCCCTCAATATCAGATGGAAAAAGTCCTTACACAGGTTTTGTGGCTAAGAGATAACCATGTTGCTTCCCATATAAATTCTGTAATTAGCCCACAGTAAATATGTTTTCAAACATTTTTCTTATTAAAACAACAATAACAATTATGAATTACTGAAATCCAATGTAAGAATGTCCCATTTGAGAAAACTTTCATTTATAAAGTGAACCTATGAGCCTTCCAGAATGATAAAAACCAAAAAACCATATTGATACATCTACCTGGTTGTTGGTACAACTTTACCAACACTGATTGGTAAATCAGTACTGATTAACTTTACCTCAAAACACATTAACCACACCATGTGCTTGCCATGAAAATCACCAAGGAGTTTTTTTCTTCTGTTTACAAATACTGATTCTCCATTGTTCTATATGGAAATAATTTTTACAGGAAGTTTCTGAGTAAAGAATTATGGTTTAGATGGAAAGATCTAGACATGTTATATATCTTAATTTTGCAAGTCATCCCTTGGATAAAGTTTTTGGTGTTAAAAATTAATTAGCCCTGGCTGGTGTGGCTCAGTGGATTGAGTGCCAGTCTGCAAACTGAAAAGTCACTGGTTTCATTCCAGTCAGGGCACATGCCTGGCTTGCAGGCCAGGTCCCCAGACAGGGGTATGTGAGAGGCAACCCATCAATGTTTCTCTCCCTCTCCTTCTCCTTCTTTTCCCCTTCTCTCTCTGAAAATAAATAATTTTTTTAAGTTTAAAAAAATTAATCAATGTGCCAAAATTTCTACGTATTCCCTATTTCACTGAATCTAAGATGTCATCTATTTTCAGATACACTATTGCAAGGATGTCAAACTCATTTTCACCAGGGGCCACATCAGCCTCAAGGTTGCCTTCAAAGGGCTGAATGTAATTTTTAGGACTGTGCAAATGTAACTACTCTGTGACTAGGGGCAGGGAGCTCAGCACTGCCACCAGGTAGAAACAAGGTGCTAGGCCAGATAAAACAAGGTAGAGGGATGGATTCAGCCCTCAGACCATATGTTTGCCACCTGTGCACTATTGTTTTAGGTAATGCTAAGAAAAGCTGCTAACTAAACTAGGCCAATTTTAAGATACCATTCTATCTTAGATAGGCATCTTTAAAAAAATCAATGAAATTGCTTAGATTTATAATTAAGGTTTATAGGCTTAAGATTTATAATTATAATCAGGTATGTGCATAATCAGTGACTCATTTTCATCCATATAGGCATGAATTTTTGCCCACTCAACAATGTATCCCCCACACCTAAAAACTGGAATAATTTCCATATCTATGCAAATCATATTACTCAGTTCAGTTTTGTACAGATGAATGTAAAAAGTAGTAGTAATATTTTTTAAAAAATAGTTTTTTCCTTGGGGGAAAAAAAAAGGAAGTGACCTCTTTTTATCCTGGAACGTGATACTGCTTGTTCAAAGTAATAAAAATTAATTACACTCAACTTGGATAATTTTCCAATCCAAAAGCATCTGATGTATCTATCTCTACTCAATTTAAAATATATCTTTCTATTTTGATAAGTATTTACGTACATGTTTTGTTTCCATAGCACCTTTCAAAAGTAACAACGAATGAATAATAAACATCTTACAGCAAGAAACAATTTATCCATTCAACAAAAAGGAAAAATAAACTTGATTTGTAGATTTAACAAGACTTGAAGAAATTTACAATATTACACTGTAACTATAAAATAGTCTAAGTTGAATGTTCTTAACTCAATTTGTATTTCCCCCTAAACTGCATGTCTGAGATTCAAGTGAAAAGGCAATTTTTAATGAATCATACTAGGAGGACTTAGGACATATGCGATTATAGGTCATTTTAATTTTCACTTTTGTACACATCTACATTTCCTAAATTCTCTAATATGGATATTAGTATGTAGGAATAAAAGTTATTTAAAAAGTGGTTATACAGTACTGATTTGTATTGTAATTCAGGCCTTTTTATTTATACATTATTGCTGTCACTTCCCAACTCCATTCTAATCTCAAACTGCTCAATGATTCAAGAATTTAGTTGTCAACATTTCTTTATGTACATATATAATTTAATTTTTACACTATTTTGTATTGTATTTTTAAATTACCATTTATCCCCCCATATCTTCTACCACCTCCACCCACCCCCTTCCCCTCACAATCACCAGACTGTTGTCTGTGTCCATGAGGTCTTTCTCTTCTCTTTTTCTTTCTTTCCCTCTTCTTTCTTCTCTTTTCCTTCCTTTTCTTCTTTCTTTCTTTCTGCCTCTCTCTCTATCCCTCTACCCCCTCAATGTTTCTAACAATTTCCATTAAACAAAGAAAATTTTTCAAAGGGACATAGGTACTAACCTTGTCTCCCACCAGAGATTAACCAATGAAAGTGTCAGTAGCCGACTGACAGTAGTCAGTAGGGACTGATTTTTCCATGTTAGAACAGAAGGAAAATTTCTTCCAACAAAACTTGTTTGAGTCAGTTAAATTCTGCCCCCCTTTCTCTAATAAGTGAAAAGACAATGGCGACTATTGGGTCTCAAGGGGGCTAGTACTGTATCCTAAGAAACATATTTAGTTATCAAAGTGATTGGAGACACCACTGGCATTAAGCGTGTGGGGGCCAGAATGTTGGACTTCACAAGGTGCATGGGATAGACCCACATAATGAAGATGCATCTCAATCCTGAAAATCTTTTACAGATCCAGTCAGATTAATCACTGTAAAGTGGCATTACTCTAGGGCATAACACTAAAAAGTTTTTTATAAGACACTATGGGAAACCCACAATAATTTAGGAGAACATAGCTAATGTGAGGAATGTTGAGATAAAATAATCTTTGAAAATTAGTGACCATTTTCCTCACATCATATATCGTTAACTCAACACATAATTGCAGTGTCATAAAACTAAGCATATCTCAACCACTAATTGAGATACCAGCATTGAATCCTTAAATCTCAATCTTGTTATTTTATTCATTACTATCAGTAAGTGTCAGTATCTTAAAGCTTGCAACACAAAAGGTGCTGTGCAATATAACTTTAAAATATGGCATCCACAAAGGGGTTATATTAATATTATTTATGTACTGGTTGAGGCAGTCTGTTATCTGGACAATTTTATTTTATCCTGCCATTTTATCTTTAATTTAATGTAAACTGTTTATTACCATAAACAGGTTATCCCAACACTCAGGTGTATCCCCCACACACTCACACACAGTGTCCATCTATATCTCTGGCCCTTCTTTTTCTTGTTTCTAGAAATACCTCCTAATATTTTTATCGCTCTTTAATCCAAGTGCATTCATTTAAAGCAGGTGCAAGCACCCAGGCACGTGCTCTCTTCTCCCACAGTATGTGCTACAATGCATGTCATACATTGTTCTCCATTTAATTCTCCTTTGCATTTAATCTGGAGCATCGTATGATTATGTGTATTTCATGATAAATTTTATTTCAGGGCCGTAAAGTGGGCTTCATAAACGTTTGCAAAGGGAAATGGCCTCAGTTCTGAAAAGTTTGATCACCACTGCTCCAAAGAGTGCAATCACATGCTTAACAAAAATCAAACTTAAAAGTTTCCTTCCTGTAACTAAGGAAGCCGAGGGCTCCAATATTCCAGTTCCATTCGACCTGACACCCCACACCTGGCACATCGCTACTCTAAGTCCACTTCTGCACTCTCACAGAGCCGAACAACAGCTCTTAACCATTTCAGGATCAAGGACCCTTTGGGGAATTTGACAAAAGCCAAGGACCATCTCCCAACAATTCATATACCATGTTGCATTCAACGTTGGGGCGGATAGGGACTTCCAGACACACCCTCCGCAGCCCAATGGGGACCCGAGGTACAGAACTAGAGCCTTAAAGCTCTGCGAGTGGGGGTGGGGAGAAGGATGGGAGGGGAGCAAGGGAGTGGGCGCGGGAGTCAATGTGCCTGCTTTTGAACCCCCATTCTGCCCCTTCCCAGCAGTGTTAACTTTGGGCTGGGCGCTTCACCTCTCCATGCAGCACTGGAGTGGAGCCGCTCAAGTGCTGAGCGTAAAGGCTCAAATGGCGTTGCCACAGACAGCAGCACCACGTCCTCGGAGCCATCCCGCCGCGGGAGTAAACTGAGGCGGGCCCGGGGGTCTCACCGTAGCGCAGGAACTGCCTGCTGGGGGACCGGCCCTGGAAGCCCTGGCCCGGCCGCCCCGCCCCGTCCGCGCGGGTCCCGGGACGGGGCTGACCGGGTGGCTCCGCTGCAGGCGCGGGGGCGAGCTGGGACTGGAGCACAGGACTTGGGTCGCCGCCCGACCCGCTCCCTGGTCCGGCCTTTGGTCTGCGCTGCTCTCACCCCCTCCTCTGCCCCCAACGGCCGCCACCGTGGCCCGCAGCTCACCTCCCCGGCCGCTGCCGCTCCTGCCGTCGCCGCCGCCGCTACCGCCGCCGCGCGGGATCTCGCGAGACTTCGCTCCCCTCGGCGCACCCCCGCCCTCCCGTGGCGCTGCAGACCCCGGCCTGGAATCGACTCGGCGCGCTCTCTGTAAGCAGCCCTAGGTTCGGCGACAAGCCTAGCGGTGCTCAGGCCTCTGCGTCTGCCTTGCTACATCCATTTCGCCCACTTCAATGACCGCGAAGGGTTAAAAGCCAGGTGCAAGGCGGCCGCCTCCCTCTCACCTGGCCGGCCAGTACGCGCGCGCATGCGCACGCCTGAAGTCCTGGACCTGAGAGCCTTTGGAAAGACGCTGACCTTAGGGACAATAATCCCACCAGCCGGTCTGGCACTGCGTACTGTGCACCGACTACTTTTACCACTCCCCTTGGGTAGTCACAGTAGCCCTCAGAAATGAATATTACTATACTCCCTATTCTAGAGAGGAAGCAACAGAAGCTTGACAAGGTTAAGTCACTATCTCCAGGACACATTGCTAGGAAATGGCACCCGGGGTTGTCTGATTCCCAAGTTAAAGCCCCATTTTTCCCGCTCTGTGAACCCCACCCCCACCCCCCGGGTCCTGCCCCTGCCCCAACTCTCGCTGAGGGAGACCAATCTCAACGCCAGTCTTTATTTCCCTCCTAAGCGTCACCAAGGTGAGAGGAGGCCCTCCTGGATGGTTAGTTACTACAATCCCTCTGGGGTTTTTTGGAGCTGCTGGATAGAAAAATGCTTCTCCCACATTACACGACCTTCCTAAGGCCTCCCTGTCCAGACTCTTTACATGGCTCTGAAAACTATGTGAAAGTACTCTGTTTTATTTCCTCTTCAGACTGGTGGTGTTTTGATGATGGTAGCATAGTAGTTCTATGGGACACAAGACATAGAACCAAAATGTACATATTAGGGGCACAGAGAACCATGTGACTTTTTCCTAAGGGTAAAATCTTAACATTATAAGCAGTGGTTTCCCCTTATCCAGGGTTTCGCTCACTGCAGTTTCAGTTACCCATGGTCAACCACAGTCCAAAAATATTAAATGGAAAATTCCAGAAATAAACAATTCATAAGTTTTAAATTGCGGCTGTTCTGAGTAGTGTGATGAAATCCGGAGCCTGCCCAGTCTGTCCGGACCAGGACGTGAATCATCCCTCTGTCCAGTGCATCCATGCTGTATACGCTCCCCTTCTGTTAGTCACTTAGTAGCTGCCTCCATTATCTCATCAACTGCCTCGGGATCATAGTGCTTGTGTTCAAGTAACCTTTTCTTCATAGGTATGTATGTGCCTAGTATATCTAGAGTTCAATACTGTCTGAGGTATCAGGCATCTACTGGGGGTCTTGAAACATATTTCCTGGAAATAAAGGGGGACTACTCTAATAGTTTCTAAAGAAGAGGGGCTAACTATGGTTGGGTGGCTCAGTTGGTTGGAGTGTCATCCCTTGCACCAAAAGTTTGTTGGTTCAATCCCTGGTTGGGGTGCATATAGGGGGCAACTAATCGATGTTTCTCTCTCTCTCTCCCTTTCTCTCTAAAATCAGTAAGTGTATCCTTGGGTGAGTGTTTAATAATAATAATAATAATAATAATAATAATAATAATAATAGAAGAAGAAGGGCTAGCATTTATTGAGGGCATTTCAAGGTCACTACCAATAGTCTTCCAAGTTAATTCACAGTATAGTGGAGACTTAGGGGATAAAGAAACTGGCCTAAGGTTGTGTAATGAGACAGGATTTGAACCTGGGTCTGAGTTCAGAGCCAAGTACTGCCATGTACTCAAGTCCCATGAGCTAGCCTGATCTAGTTGGTCTGAGCCAAAAAGTTATTGTAAAATCAAGAGCCTTGCAGGTTCTAGCCATCCCTTCACCATGCATCAGAGCCTTACTCAGCCCTCCTGAAAGTCACATCAGCAAATATTGGCCTGCCCACCCTCCAAGCCTGTCCACTCCCACCAGAAACAAGGCCACTCTCAAAGGTCATAGGTGTCCCTCCATGTGCCAGCATCACTCAAACCACTGGTGGAGGAAGTCAGAGAGGAAAGGAAGTCACATCTGATGGGCAGCAGCAAGGTGTTAAATACTACTCCAGGTGCTATCCATTCATTTAGTCCTCCCAGCAATATTACGTGGAAGCTATGATTGTACCCATTTTAAAGTTAAGAAAATCAAGGAACTGAGAGGGAAGAAAACTTGCCAAGGCTACATAGTTGGTAAGTGGGAAGGCTGGGTTTCTACCCCAGGACAGTCTGTCACCAAAACCACATACCCCGACCTCAGTGACCAACAAGATTCTTCCCTGCTCCCCAAAGTCTATATCTTTGTGAAACTGAAAGCCTAAAAATCCCATGAGTCTAAGATAGTGTTTATTGTTTTCTGGGTGGACCATGCCTCAATATTCTCATCTAAAATAAGGATATAAATGAGTTGTTGGGAGGATTAACCGAGTTAGTATTTGTGAAGCATGTACTAAAGTGCCTCACACAAATTAAGCTCTCAGTAAATTATAGCTGTGATTATCACAGGGATGTCTGTGATGTGTTATTCTTTCCCCAACTCTTTGGAGTTTATATTAAGGGTAATATAAACTCCAAATCATTTTTGGAGGGATTTGACCTTATCTGCCCAGGCATAGGAATAAAATTAGTCTCTAGCCTACTGGAAAAACTAAATGCTCTTGAATAGACAAAATTGCCCCTGTACTTCCTCCTGATAGTGGAAAGAGACTAGACTCTTTTGAAGCTTTTCTCAGTTCCCTGGGAGACTGGCAGTTGGTTTTATAAAAGGCTCCCCTTGTATAGGAAAAGTCACCCAAATATGTTTAAGTTGTTGGCAAAAAAAACAAAAGAATGCTGAAACTTTTAAGAGACTTTGGCAAGGCTGAGGGTTAATATAACTACAGTGATATCATGATTGTGGGAAGGCTTTAATAGGAACTGAGGCTACCACCACCCTCAGGCCATGGTACCCCAAAGTTACCCTGACAAAAGGCACACCACACATTCCCACCAATGGCAGTGTCATACTGTGGAATGATCCTCACCATGGGTGGGGTGGACATACCAGGATCTACTGAAGATCCATTGTAGTTTGAAAAACAAAACAAAGCAACCAGGTGATTCTAATATGCACATCTCTAAAGGCTTGATGTATGGTTCCCAAGAAGCACTATTGAAATATCTTTTGATCCAAGAGGAATTTTATAAATGCCTATAATGGATTCATTTAATGCTCATTTGTTCATTAAAAACATATTAAGCACTTAAGTGCCAGTTGCTGTGTGAGTAGCTCTGAGTAAGACAGACCATCGTCCAGGCTGTCATCACATTATGTCCTGGAAGGAGTGAGAGGTGCTAATTAAATAATTGAACCAATAAAGTGTTGAAATGTTATGTGGTAAGTAGAATGCAAAAGAAGAGCAAATGACTCCCCCCGGAAAAAAGTCTGGGTGGAAGGGTAGGAAATAACTTGTTTGAATTAAGTTCTGAAGGATGCCTTAGAGTGAACTAGGCAAGGAGAAGAGGGGAGAACGTTCCCGAGATAGGAATGGCATGGATTGGCAAGGAGAATGTACGTGTTGGCAGCTGGGAAGACAGGAGGGTGGCAGGGCCTCTAGAGGCATCTCAGACATGTGTGTACCTTGAGCACATGGGAAGAGAGGACAGAACCCAATTGGAGGCAGAAGAATGTCATGAGAAATGCTGTTGGTCCCCACATACCCATTCCAGCCAATCCAAGCTTATATTGGACTCCTACCACCTCTGTCCCACCAGTGCTTGGTCAAGGATGACACAGCTGTCATATCTCTAGCTGACCTGTATTTGAGGAAATCGAACATTATAAAGTCCCAGCACCCCAAAGCAGAAATCCAGCTGCAAATTTCCTACCTCCCTTCCAACTAGGACAAGGAAAATGACATAGGCTCCGCCAGCCACATGCACCACGTGAGACTAAATGTGGTCATGAGCTGTGTTCTGGTGAGTGACTAGCAGCCAAAGCAGTCAGCTTTGGGGATGGTGGTTGCAGAGTGGAGCTCCCAATGGAGAAGATGCACCAGTGCTGATGGCAGTGGTGGCTGTGGTGAGAGCAGACTCAGGCAGGGTGGCAGCTAGCTCATGGGGCCAGGCCTGCAGTGTGGTTTGGGGCATTTTTCCTAGAAGCTTAGCCTCAAGTTCCTTTCTCCAGCCTTCACAATGATTCTGTGGGATACCCAACATCCTGTATTACATTCCCCTTCTGCCTAAACCAGCTAGCATTTCCCAAGAATGCTGACCCCTCAGGCACCCAAGCCAATTGGAGCCAATGAGACTCAGAGAGAGGTTTGCTAAGATTAGAGGCCTGGGGAAGTTTCTCTGTTGTAAGAGAGAGCCTGGGGAAGCCAGCTTACTCTCTCTGCCTGACATGGACCTCACCTACCACCAATGGCTCTCTCTGCAACTGTGGGATAAGATGTGCCTGCATGGCACAGAGAACAGCAGAGGAAACAAAAGATCTTGGGTCCTTAACTACATCAGCAAGCTGCTGGACTGACCCTAGACCTACAAGGCCCTGGATGTCCCTGAGCTAATGCTGTGGTTAATCAACTTGAGTTGGTTTCTCTGTTCCTTGCTGTCCAAATATTCATACTGGTGCAGAAAGCAAGGGATCCACTTATGAAGAACAGGCATATATCTTCCCTGGCTGTGTCAGGAGCCACCCCAACTCCTAGGCAATCATTTACATCTAACCTCATCCCCCCCACCCCCACTGCACACACTCCCACCCAACATCAATACCACTCAGTAAGCCCTGCCTGACTTCAAACACTGCTTTCAAGAAAACACACCCTGCCCTGACCAGTGTGGCTCAGTTAGTTGGGTGTCGTCCCACAAAACAAAAGTCCGCCAGTTCAATTCCTGCACACACCTGAGTTATGGCCCAGTCTCTGAGTTATGACCAGGGCACATGTGAGAGGCAACC